TATCTATCTATCTATCTATCTATCTATCTATCTATCTATCTATCTATTTGTGCATTAATGTCTTCCCTGCATGTATGTATATGTGAGGCCGTTGGATTCTGAACCCGTGTCCTCTTGGAAGAGCAGTCAGTGCTCTTAACCACTGAGCCGCCTCTCTCTCTCTCTCTCTCTCTTTCTCTCTCTCTCTGTCTCTCATGTTAGTCGCCAGCATGGACCCTGAAACTACGCCAGTGAACTCTGTGTACCTGCTTCTATTAACACGCACTAGCCACTTGGCACCAAGCAAGACTGGTTAATCACATGGAAGCCAGTGGCTCAACTCCTGGAGTAAACAACCTTTCCTGCAAAGCAAGCCACTGAGCTCCGGACCCCAGCAGATGTGCTTTTATGCCATGCAGAGCCTGCCTCTCAGAACATTATCCAGACACACCGACGCTGAGAATTAACCAGGGGACTGGTCCAGTTTCTTCAAGGGTAGCCTTAAGTGAAACTGTGTTCGGCAGTGGAGAATGCAAAGACCTCACTGCCACTGCCTTTACCAAAGCACCAGGTATCTTATCCCCCACTGAGTTTGCATCATAACGGAAAAAGACAAAAACTGACTTACTATTATAAGACATCTACAGGCAACTCTTGGAATTGTTCCACTAAAGATGGTTATTATGTCTTATATTGTATACTTTTAGATACTCCTTTTCTTCCACACTTTCAAAGCAGAACAAGCTCTCAGTTCCTTAGTGCTCACTTAAAGGTGGGAAAAAGGCAAAGCAGCTATAAAGCCCTCAACATCAAATTGGTAGCACAAAGTCTGTGCTACCTATAACTCATGCTTTGAGGCAAATGCCAAGGACCCTCTAGACTTGTCAGGATTTGGTTTTCACAGTTTCTGGGGACGGCCTGGCTGAAGCATGCTGATATGGACGGATTCCCAGGTGAACACAGCAAGAGATCTGGCTCGGCGAAAGTAGGAGTAAATATAACTGTATGGTCTTTGGTTGGGCTTATTTTCGATATTAAATTTCCCTTTTCCTCATTTGGAATGTTGAAATAGTATCAGTTCAACATAGTATCATGGATTACTGGTATCTTGCTTTTCATCCTTATGTTGATTTCATGTCTTGAAAATTAACTTTGCTTGGTGAATTTGTCTAAGGTAAGGATAATCCTAAATTGCGTCCTGGACCTCGGTATCTGATTGCTCCCCAAACCAGAAACAACATAATGTCTATCAATTGGTTAATGGGTATAGTATGGTATATCTATACAGTGGAATATTACTTAACCAGAAAAGGGGATGCAGTACTGATTGATATTGCAAAGTGGAAAGGCTAAGCTAATGTGTATAATTCTACTTATATGACATGTTCACAATAGGCAAGTTCATAGAGATAGAAAATTTACTGGTTTTCAAGGACTATGAGGAAGCCAGGAAGAATCAGAGAGTGACTGTTAATGAGCACAGGATTTCTTTCTGGGGTGATGAAACATTATGACATTATATGATAGTGACATTTTCATAGTTCAATGAAGACACTAAAACCACTGAACTGTGAAAAAACGTTGCGGTAACTTAACTCTACCTTAAAAGAAAACAAACCAATTCCCATGGCCTTGCAATTGAGCCGTATCTACTGTTATAATTTCCTGAATAATTAAGAAAGGAGAGTAAAATTGTGGCTAGGGCGGAAGTCCACCACCTCCTCCGTAACGCTTACACATTCATGCTTTGAGTCACAGTCATCCATCTGCAGCTGGCTGGGTGGGTACCTCGGAGAAACGAGGCACTGTTCTGAGTATAGCAAGCATCACCAAACCGACCCTCTCCTCAGCCTGCTAAAGCTTAGAGGAGGAAGATGCTGCAGAGAGACAAAACCAACCAAACAGATGCAAAGGATGGCTGGGCACTGCAGCAGCGCAACAGGGGTGATCTAAGGGGGTGAACTGTACAAAGCATCCGGGCAAGAACACACAGTAGCCAGGAGGTGGGGGATTTTGTTGCGAGGGTAGTAAGCCCTGAGGTACTTGGTTGGGCTCACGTTTTATCAAGGTCACTCTGGAAACCCACGATGAAGGGGCAGCTGTAGCTCGACAAGGGCGGGCACTGTGGTGTTATGCTAAGAAGCAGGAGTTCATGGGTGGTGGGAATGTCTGTGCTTAGGAAGGACTGATGGCTATTGAGTTTTTATTCTTGCAGCCTTGGAGGACAGCACTGAAGAGCCAGCATCTTCCTTAGCACCCCAGGAAAAAGGTCTGCTCTGGGACTCGGAAGCATCAGGCGAGGCAGGACAGACATCCTTCCCTGCTATGGTGGCTACTTCATCATTTTAATGGATGTAGGAAGTATACTGTGATCTTCTCTCTCAAAACTGATGGAAGAAAATCACTCCCTTGAAACTAGTGGAGAAAAAGTGCACACTCCAAGATGAAGGGGGAAAACACATGAAAAATGTCAGCTCAAGTTCGCCTGAAAATGCTAGCACAACCGATCAGGCTCAATTGAAAATGCTCCGTATAAGCCTCATAGGTACAATAAAGCAGATGACATAAGACATTAGCACTTACTATCATCACAGTACACATTTGCAAAAGGGGAAAAATGTCCTAAAGCCTGCAAGTTTGGGAGAAGCAAGAAGGGCTTTGCATAAGATTAAATCACTTGACTCCTAAAGGCATAATAAAAATCTCTACTGTGTGCACGGCTTTTGGCTGCAGACATTTTAGATTAGGGAAAATGCCGTAGAAGGAAACACTAATATAGCTGCGAACGTGTATGCGACAATGAGTTACTTTCCTGAAAAAAAAAAATGGTGAGACGCCACCTCTTTGCATTCATACCCTTTCTACTTACCATACTGAAGGGCTTTTAGTGGGAACCAAAACAGAATAACTGAGTGGAAGAGGCCATTCAAACAATGAACCCAGAAAACCTGAGGGAAAACAAGAATCCATGAGAACCATTTGCGATAAACTCGTGCTGTGACCTTTGACCTTTCTTTTTATCTATGTGCTAGATGCACAAAATGTGTTTCTGCTGGGCCACCACTGTGAATTAATAGAACTGACAGACACTCTCTGCCTTAGACGTTCATGGGTCATTTATTTATTTTTATGTTTCTCAAGATGTTTTTTCAGCTTCACTTGAATTTTTTTTCTACTTAAAAAAAAAAAAAAGATTGACTATCAAAAGTTTAAACGTCTGCCTGCCAAAGTGGGGAACCATCTTAAAACAAATGCAGGTCCTGGAATTACTTACCCTGGGATTCTTTTCATAATTCGAGAAGAACAGACCTTTAAAAGTCTATAACTGGGAAATCCTTCTCACTTTTTTTTTCCTACCCTACTGCTCAGTAAACGTTTCAGTGGTACAAATATATAATGCTTTTCTTTCTCTCTTGCAATAATAGACACGCGCGCGCATACACTGTAAAAAAAAAGTCTAACATTTAGATTATATATTCACTAAAATAAGGTATCGTGACTATGTCTGGATTTGTCAAAGGCTTTTACAATTGTTTAACATCTGTCCATACCAAGTTTCAGACACTCACCACAGCCACTTAACAGCCATTGCTTTCTCTGCCTTGTATATTACGAATAGACGCGAAGGCATCATCATTCATGTTTTCGTAACGTGAACGTGAAAGATTAAGTTATAGAAAACTGTTCAGAACCTTTATGAGCCTCAGAATAGCTGTAGTTTCATCATTTAAAATGGCTTCTTGCAAACAAAGCTCAGCGTTAAATACAATTGGCATGTATTAATAGTTTTAAGCTGTTCAAACAACAGAAATTAAGTTGCCTGCCTCCCAAAATTTTCCACTGTGATCTCAACCTCCTTTGTTAGTTCACCCAGCCACGCTGAATTGTATGATCCAATTTACGCCCCAATACTTTACACATTTGAACTTGTGTTACTCATTAACCTTTGTCGCTTCTCCTCACTATGTCATTACCACAAGTTTTTATTTGACAGAAAGCACAGGTGGGTGCAAGAAAAATTAGTTCTACTTTTCCATTTTCCTGACTGATACTTATTGTCACATGCTAATCCTTTAACCCCTGTCATGACCTCAGAGCCTCTGACCCCTTTTACCATAACAAATGCAAGCCTCATCATTCAAGGCAACAATGCTTGCACACTCGGGGACCCTCAGCAACCACTGTGTAGACAACTATGCATTTTGTAACCATTTGTTCTGGAATTTTAAAACATTCAGATGGGATTCAATCAAACCGTTTCACTGAAATCATTTGCTAAAATTCCATAAGCCTTAGAAAAATAGATGGCAAGCTGAATAATAAGCTAAACACATATTCAAAGAGAAACAGGAATAGTTCAGCCCAATGGAGTGGATCTGGGACTTTCTCAATGACTAGGCTCTAAGATAATGAAGTATTTCTTCAATAGTAGAAGACAGAAAGAAACAGTTACTCTTCCATCAGCACTGCACACCTTTTTCTGGCCACTAAACTGTGCCCATGTTGCCATGTGTGGAGGGCATAGAGGATGTGGCTTTCAGGAATGACTGGGTCAGTCTAGGGGGATCAGCGTATGCTTTAACTCAAGAGGGGCATGTCAGATTTGTGGCTGGGAAGCTAATGTGAGACAGCATCACAGACAGCGTCCAAACTATGGGAGGCAAGGATCTGTAGCTGAGCTAGATAAAACCCACTAGGCTGTTAAGAATCATCGCTAATGGCCCAGTGTGCACTTGGTTCCCAGATCACTTGAACAGGAAAACAGAAGCTCATCGGAACTGCATCTGCCTTGACTGTAGCTTTTCATCGTCTGAAAATATCCGCCACCGATAATGAAAACCATGACGGAAATGTGGGGAGAATTTGATACAAACGGCTTACAATAAATAAATAAATAAATAAATAAATAAATAAATAAATAAATAAATAAATAAATAGCCTAAAAAAACGAAACTTTAAAATATTAGCTTAGACCTTATATACTACAAAGAGAAAAAGTTTTAAGAATATAAGACTAGAAATATATTTCAGAGCCAGCAGGATGCTTGATACTTTGATTACCTAGTTTCAATTATTTAACCTGAAGCTATCAAGCTATTTGCCATAAGGAAATGTGCCACTGGATATCCATGAACAGTGTGTGTTCATGAAGATTGAGTCTCAGAAGAAAAATAACTTTTTGGTTATAAACTCAACACTGTCATTTATGGTGTGTGGTACAGAGGCACCAAAACACCCATTTCACTTTGTTCTGTATACTAAGAGCAAATACTAATAACAAAGAGAACTTCATGAATTAACACATATGAAAGCTTATTTTTGCTTTAGGTTCAAAACACTTAATTGCAGTTATATGTAACTGTCATGAATTTACTACGAAACATGCACTACATTAAGTGGAAACCACTCGGCAAAAGGGTGCTATGTTCATTTTCAAATACATAACGTTAGAGTTTCAAAATGGCATCTGACTCGGTTGTTGACATTTTAAATTCCCCCCCTCAGTTACGCTAAAGAGAAACGTGCATCATTACCTGATACTAGTGTAGCAACACGTTAAAAGATGATTAAAAGTATTGCAGGAAGAAAAACTATGCAGAGGTGAGATCCTCTGTGGTTGAAACAACTAAATATCACAGAGCAGAGATGGCGGTAGACTATGGTGTGTTAGGTAGCGCACGAACCCAAGCAGAGGAATCGGCTCAAATGTCCACCAGCGGAGGAATGGACAGTAAAAATGTGGCACATTCACACAGTGGCATTTCATTCAGGCATAAAGGAAAAAATGAGCCCAAGAACCTTGAAGAGAAATGAATGGAACTAAAAAATACTATATTAACTGAGGTGGCTCGGGGACAGAAGGTCAAATCCCGCATGTTCTCTTCTGTGTGGCTCTTAGATGCTCATTTTTATTCATATATGTTTAGGTGGGGATGAGTGTGGATTGAGGTGAGGAGACTCGAAGGATGCTCAGAAGAGGAGAAGGGCTCAAGAAGGGCAGTGGGGAGAGTAATAGAACACATGTGATATGAAAGCACAAAGGGGATGACTCGGGGGTGGAAAGATACGAGTGAGAATGGGAAGAATGGTTGCTTAGGAAAAAGGAGGAAGCAGGTAAACCAGAACAACCACATAGGAGAATATCATAAGGAAATGTGTTACTTTTTATGCTAATGATACTTTTTGGGGTAATGAAGAAAAGAAAAGGAAATAACTTTCTAGACACAGTAACAACCCAGGCATGCCACGGTTTTAGGAAAAATGCTGGATTTCACAAAACCTTTCTTTTTTTTTTTTTTTAATTTTAAGCCTCAGAGCTACTGAGTATATAAGAAGTTACCTCCTGGAGACTATAGTTTTAATGCCCAGTTGGGCATTAAACCACTCTAAAATTCTAAGGAGAACATTATTTCCCCAGAGAGGATATTAGGAAAGAATGAGATAATAGTCCTCACCGGGAACACAATACAGCCAATCCATGTAAGTCCCAGGTGACTAGCCCGTGAGAAGCGAGCATGTTTTTTACACTGCCGGAAGACAGTGACATGGCCTAGAAGGTCACGTCTACTCCCTGCTGTCCAAGAACCCCAATGAAGAGTGTTTTCATTTTAATTTTGTAACACTCAAAAGAAAAAAAAAACACACACACAAAACAAAACAACAAACAAACAAACAACAACCCTCACCCTAAATAATCCAAGCCAACCAACAAAACTCCTTTGCTGTTCACATCAAAACCTTCCTAGGGCTTGCCACACTCTGTACTCTACGGTGCTTGGCTGAGGGATGCCAGACGTCCCAAGCCAGCAGCAACAGAGGAAACCCCTTTGAAGATATGAGAGGATATCAGCTCCTACCTTGGTGTTGAAGTCCAGAGCGTTCTGAGACGTTTTGTACAACTCCGGGTACTTTAACATGTTCTCCTTTCTGCACGATCTCTCAAATATTCCAAGCGTTAAGGGAGGCATCGCTGTGAACATCTAAAGCGACACACTTCTCGTTACATCACACAGCCGGATCCACGGATGCTACATTTACTTTTAGTATTAAACAGAACAGGAGTTATCCAATGCACTCAACTCACCACATTGTACAGCCCTATACACCATCTCTCAAAGAGGATCTGTCCAGAAAAGCCATTGACGAAGGCAAACCAGATCTAGGAAGAAAGCAAGACCCCAGGATAAGGATACAGAACTTCTACACCTCGCTTAGAAGCTGTTGCATACTGAACCCTGCAAAGCAGGGCTGGGATCATCTGTGGGTTTCTGGACACTGCACTTCTTTAAAGGAGCACTTTTATTATACAGCTGCCATGTGAGTCAGGATTTGTTCTACTTGCCAAATCTAAATATCTACATGGGCAAACAATCACAGATTTAGAAAAATCAGATATCATCTTGTTTTTACACGTGAATATATTTACATGTCATTAAATGTTGACAGCTTTAATTCCCCTTTCAAATTCCCTGCAGGGGTTCAGTTAAAAATACTTTTTTCTTTTTAAAAATTATAGATGTCACAGTCATTTATTTAGGAAGTAATTTCCATCATTTTCTTCTGTGTCAGTTGTATAGTTTACGCAAATCACAGGTTTACTTTTCTTGACACGGTACACAACTGTTTACACTATCATACCCTACTCTTCCCCCTTCACATTACAAAGCAAGCATTTGAGTTCTCACACTGCTAAGGGATTCAGAACTTCCGCAGCGTGGAGACTGAGCTGTCTTAGCAGCTCTTGCTATCAGAAATGATTCCTAACTGAAACCTCACATATTTTCCCTTTTCCTTATGACACATACTTGAAGAAAAACGAGCGCATTAAATATGTTTTCTTTTCTTTCTTTTCTCTACAGGTCTTGACAAATGTGTTGGTGTGTGAGTGTGTATGTGGCTGTGTGCATGTGAGAGCAGGTGCGCCGGGGGACCTGAGGCACAGGATCCCATGGAGTACGGTTACAGATGCTTATGAGCTGACCTTAAATTTTAATGCTTACATAAAATGAGATCTTTAATTACTAGAACATAATGTTTTCATGTGTTTGCAATTCTTTTTGAAAGAGAAACCTTAACGTAGGAAACTAAATTTAGAGGTAATATGGAATTTCATTCAACATATCTGAAACACATATACAATTAAAATGATTACTGGAAATACCTTGCAAAAATGCATTAAAAAAAAGCCAACCTAAATATAATTAAAAATCACGCAGACTTGGAAAAGTAAAAACCCTAGCCCAGCAATGAGATTACGGGTCCTCACCACACAGTAACAGCGGACAGCAGGGAAGAACTTTGTGACTTGTGGCTTGGGAGAGTACTACAAGACACAGGAACTTTGCTACACTTCATGTTTCATTTAACCTCATTATGGAAGCATGAACTGCTACAAATTCGCCATTCATCAGTACAGCCTTCCTGGAACAGTTTCTGTACTCACCTGCTTCGTTTTTATAGTGGAAGGGAATGGTTGAGCATGTGTAAGAGTAAACGTCTCCAAATCAGTCTAATAAATATGATCTGGCTCACGGGGAATAATTAATTCTAAATGCATTGGCAAAGCATTGATAACTGTGTACATTTATGATAATGAATTGCATATGGTCAATAATTATAGAGGTGAGTAGCCCTTTAGGTTTTTTTTTTTTTTTTGCAGATAACATTTTATTGTTAATTTTAAGTACCACAAGATTAGACTTTAAGACCCACCTTTGAGTCAATGAACACTGATGGGAAGTTTCACAAAATAACTCGCCAATAAACCAGCAAGTGCATTCAAAGCCTACTTTAAAATATATAAGTGAACTGTGTTATAATAGAAAACATGTAAATGGGAGTTAACACATTTTTACCTCCTTACTTTCTGAGTAAAAGGTATGTGGCACGTGCTTGGAAATTTATCCTTTGTATTTCAAAAGGTTCATCTTCTCGCTGCTTTTCTTTTTAAAAAGAACAAGCGAACGCACTGGAATGCTGGGACAGGGCAGAGTCTTTCAATACAGAAATCTTTACATAAGTATTTTGGTATTCAAATTTGCTCTCTAATTATTATTATTATTATTATTATTGTGAAGAAGACAAGAAAAGAGAAAGTCTTTGACAGGAAAGAAGTCCAGCAAGGTCAGGTTAGTCTGAGACTTGCAGGACAAGGCATATCTTAGAAACACAGCCCTAGCTGAGACAGGATCTGAATTATCATAAGCACATACAGGCTCTCCCTTCACCCAACCAAAGGATGTAGGGAGTGAGCACCAGGCCTCATGGGGGTGGTGCCCAGATCATTTAAATTCCCAGGGAATTTCCTTCCCAGAGTAGCTTACTGGGAAAGTATCACCTTATTGACTTTAATGACCCTCTGGAAAGAAGGACCACAACATTGTTTTGGGGGTCTAAGAAAACATAGATGCCACCAATCATCTTAGGCAAAATCTCTTCTTTGCTAGAAAGAAATCAGAGGATTTAGAAGGAGCCAGTTACTTAAGTGAACACCTCCAGCCACTGCCAGGCAGCTCCCCCAACCAAGTTTTCTATCGCCACCTGCTGAACCTCCCTGTGTGGTTGCAGTTTACAGCAATGGAGGGGCTGGCTAGCTAGTGAGATCTCTGGCAGTACAATGACAGGAAAGCTTTTTTTTTTGTTGTTGTTGTTCAATCTATTGCACCCTTTGGGTTTAAGACCATTCTTTATGAATTCTTTTCCAAGCTTCCCCCACCCCACAGTCCCTGTAGAGACGTGTCAGCAAAAGCCCCACAGACATTTTCCTGATGGAGTACTTCTGCATATTAAGCAGCAGCTTGCAAAGAGTCAATTCGCTCTCTGCTCCCACGCCTGATCAGCACAAAAACAGAAAGGAGAGATTTGAGACTGGCAGTTGTCCTCGCCAGAGACATTCAAGGATGTGTTTTCTGCCTATTCATTCTCAGTATTGACATGAGCCATTAACATCTGCAGAACTTGTTTTAGCTGGCCGAAGTTGGGTATGGGGGGAATTGATTTAAAAGTTCAATCCGTTTCCAAGGCAGCTGAATTATATTCAAAATACATTTCCAAAAAGTGCTAACAGAAAAATAAATATGAGGTTTCCAGTAAAGTTTCTATCTCTGTTCCTTTTTGACCCATTGAGAATGTGATCAGTGTTAAATAGCTCATGAAGAGGCTTTAAATTCAAAGCCAAGTCAAATTTATGGCTAGTAACTATAAATCACATAATTCTAGGTTAGAAACAGAGTGTTTAGACTTCGTTTTCACATTTTAAGCATATTTTTATTTTCTTCATTAGTACATAAGTTTTCACACTTCACTGTTGTCAATCTAGATTTAAAAAACAATTGTCAACTAGTCTATACTTAAAATAACTAATTTCATTAAAAATATACTTCCTACACATCTTAGTTTAAAAGTTTTTTAAAAAATTTATGTAAATAAAGTATATGAGCTGGGAGTGGTGGCACATGCCTGTAATTCCAGCACTTGGGGAGGCAGAGGCAGGTGGATCTCTGTGAGTTCAAAGCCAGCTTGGACTACAAAGCAAGTCCAGGTTAGCCAAGGCTACACAGAGAAATCCTTTCTTGAAAGAAAGAAAGAAAGAAAGAAAGAAAGAAAGAAAGAAAGAAAGAAACAAACAAACAAACAAACAAACATACAAACAAACAAAAAGTGTATGACACCCTCAGTAATTTAAAGTGAGAGCTTATAATTAGGAAAGTTATAGATACATTAGATATTAGATTTATATTAGATATATAGAGGGAATGGGAATAAGAAGAATTCTTACAGGGAAGAACCACAATTTTATATAGAAAACAAATAATTTTTTGTTATTGTTGTTTGTTTTTTGAGGTAGTCTCACTAGGTACCAAGGCAATCCGCACACCTTAGTCTCCCAAGTAGTAGGAATAAAGGTGTATGCCAAATGCCTGACTTCAAAGATTAAAAACAAAACAAAACAAAACAAAACAAAACAACAACTTGTAAATTACTTTGAAATTATATCTCAAAACACAGGTTTTCCAGACCAAATCTAGTAGTCATAAATGATGCTATGTTTCCAAGTATTTGGCTACCTTAGCTAGCAGCATGGTAACCTAATTATAGATGTTAAGTGACTCATAGGTGCCATTTGTACCTCAAATTTAAGTTTTAATACCCTAATCTAACTCATAATTAGAATTTTGACAGCAGCAACTGAGTCAAATATCTAGAAGTTTCCAAGTAACACAGCAGATGTGGAGTAAAACAACTCTGGTATAAAATGTGGGTCTTGTTTCCATACATAGGTGGGTAGGCCATGTCCTTCTCACAGATGCACAGACGTATACATCCACAGAATAGAGGTAAAAGTGACACACACAGCCCTCTGTAAGGGAGCCCTCAGGGAATCTGAGAGGATGTGTAGGAAGAGTGGAAGATAGTTTTCTTATCAAATTATCAACATTCCTCAGAGCTGTTTAGAGGAATGTGAAACTCCTAGAGGCTCATTATTATGATACAACTTCTTATGACCTAGGGGACCGACACTAAAAAATATATGAGAGTATAGGGGGCAGAGGAAGTCTGGCGTGCGTGCGTGTGTGTGTGTGTGTGTGTGTGTGTGTGTGTGTGTGTGTGTTTGGAGATGTGGGTGTGGTCACCTCAAGGACTCCAGAGCTTCCTATTCACGGAGAGAACCTTCCCCCTGGGGTGAAGCTCAGAGGGAAATGTCCAGCACAGCTTTGTCTCCCCAGCCATTTACAGCCTGAAGATTGTTCCCTCACTGAGACTGCCTTGCAGAGAGTGGTTATCAGCTGTATACTAGAACCCCTGCCCCCTGTTTATCTGTGACATCGATGCCTCCTTTTTCAGCTGTACGCAATAACCCTGCCTGAGTGTTCAACTGTTTATACTGAGCTTCTGGGTGCTGAGGTTTCTCCAGCAGACAGCCCAGACGACCCAACCCTAGCTTTCTAAGTGTTTGTCTTTTCGTTTACTACCTTGTCACCTCCAGTCAGGTCCAAGTCCCTGGAGCTATGCAAGGACTTGAAAAAAAGAGCCTTTGAGACTGCTCAGGAGGTAAAGGCTTCAGGCCAAGCCTGAAGACCAGAGTTCCGTCCCAGGAGCCCACACGGCAGACCTGTAGAGAACAGACTCCTGTAAGTTGTTCCCTGAGCTTCCTTCTGAAAGTTGTAGATGTCTACTTACATACCCACAAAATAATACACGTAAAACAAATAAACAAACAAACAATAGAATCACCTTTTCTTGTTCACTTAGCCACCAATGCTATACTGCTATAGGTCAGCTCAGAGGCCACATGTGCATTTGAGCGCTTGATAGGAACTTGGTCCAAATTGAAATGCATTGAAGGCAAAATACATAGCAGATTTCAAACATTGGACAGGGAGGTAAGAAGGTAGAATATACACACAAATGCAAAAATAGTTCTACATGGTGAGTATGGTAATATTTTTAATATAGAGTTAAAGTGTGATATGGAAATCAATCTGGGCTTTTGTCATGATATTTTGCTAATGTGGTACCTAAAATTTTTAAAATGACAGACATGGCTTCCACTGTATCCCACTGGACGGCTCATGAGGTTATAGGCTGTCCCTGATCTACTTTGTAGTTTGCTGGTCTGAGGGTGTCAGCTGATGCCCAATCTGATGCTCAAATATCTGCAGGGTAAAACCAAGTTTTAATTCTCCCTGTGTACATGTGTGCTCGCATGCAGGCAAGTGCTCATGGGTGTGCACATGCTGAGGGCAGAGGTCTTCCTCAGAATCTACCCACTCTTTATTGGAAACACTGTCCTGGAGCTCACTGAGTGGTCTAGGCAGGCCAGGTAGCTTCAGGCTTCCGCCTCTCCAGTGCCGAGATTACAAATGCACGCCACACCACGCCTGCCTCTTTACATGGGTGCTGGGATTCAAACTCAGGTCCCCGGGCTCACAAGCCTACCACAAGTTTACCAAGTGAGCTCCCCAGTCCAAGGTTCCATTTGTAAGATGATGTCCTGTTTGATATGTGGAAAGGACCTAAGACTAGACTATTGTAGAGAAATCCCTTATCCAAAATCTTGTTTGCCAAGTCCAGACACCAAGAAGACATGGAGAGCAAGGGAGAGCTGTGTTTAATACAGAGGGTGTAAGGCAGCGAGAACGCCAGGCAGCTAAGTTCAGTGGCGCTGTCCGAGTCCTTCCTGACTGCTCTCCTGTGCCTCCCTGATCTAGAGCCAATCACTATCCTCCACTTCGCTTCTGTCATCCCTCACTTTCCTCAGATTTTTTTTTAGTGTTGTGTCACCAGATCATTATCTTTTAAATACGGTTCTCCACAAGTGTACTATCCCTTAAGAGTGGGCTGAAGAGTTTCTGTACATGTTCCAACTTTATGGTGCTGTTTTTTTAAAGACTTTATGGTGTGTTTAAAAAATTGAAAATGCAACTCATTAACAATCCTACTTCAACTTTTCTATGAAAGTAACCTAACATTTACATTTTATTATTATTATTATTACCATTTACTACAATTTATTCAATTTGTATCCTGGTTGTATTCCCCTCACTCATCTCCTCCCAATCCCACCCTCCCTCCCTCTTCTCCCCCTATGCCCCTCCCCTACTCCACTGATAGGTGAGGTCCTCCTCCCCTTCTATCTGATCCTAGCCTATCAGGGTGCATTGTCTTCCTCTGTGGCCTGGCAAGGATGCTCTCCCCTTAGGGGGAGGTGATCAGAGAACCTATCATTGAGTCCATGCCAGAGAAAGCTCCTGCTCCTCTTATTAGGGAACTCATTTGGAGACTGAGTCTTTGGGCTATATCTGAGCCAGGATTTTAGGTCCTCTCCATGCATTGTCCTTGGTTACAGTATCAGTCTCTGCAGGGCCTCCAGGGCCCAGTGTTTTTTTTTTTTTTTTTTTTTTTTGGCTCTGTTGTTTTCCTTGTGGAGCTCCTGTTCCCTTCAGGTCTTTCTATCTCACCCTTCTTTCATAAGATTCCCTGCACTTTGCTCAAAGTTTGGCTAATCAAACTTTAAATCAGCCTCTGATTCAATATTTTGAATGGCACAGTCTTTGTGACCTAACATTTTTAAGCTAGTGCCTAAACATTGTTTATTCTCGTGGCTGACATCTTCTTTGCTTGAATACATTTGGAAATGATAAAAAGTAAAGAAATGGCTCAGCAGGTGAGAACACAGACCGTTCTTCCATAGGACCAGGGTTTGATTCCCTGTCTCCACATGATGACTAACAACCATTTCTAATTCCAATTTTAGGAGATCCACCCCGGCATCGGTGGGCACTACAACTGTATGATCACAGACAGACAGATATGCAGGCGAAACACCCATTTACATAAAATAAAAATAAAATAGATATACATTTTTTAAGACCCCTGTGTAGCCATGGGTGTCCTGGAATTGCTCTGTATACCAGGCTGACCTTGAACTCACAGAGATCCATCCACCTCTGCTCGTGAGTGCTGGGACTAAAGGCGTGTGCCACCACAGCCAGGCAATAAAATACATTTTTTTTCCTTTTCTTAAAAAGTAAGTGAGAAGCTGAAACATCGATGAAAACGGGAAAGATCTCCTCAAGGGGAGCAGTTGGGACTGTGGGCATCAGGGGCGGATGAAGCTGGGCTACCTCGATGATGTAGAGCACGATGTTCTTGTAGAAGCAGTACAGGATGCACTTGGAGACTCTGTTGTAATTCCAGGCTCCGTGAACCATCAGCAGATTTTTCAGATACTTGAACTGGGAGAGGAATGGAGAGACGTCAGTACTTCCCTCTTCCCTGCCAGCTGACGGAAAGCAGTCCCGCTCGGTCCCGCAGCCATGAGGTTTTACCTGAGCTATGGAGTAGTCTGAAGAGTTGGCTGCCTGCAAACCTTCATTGCCACTTATCCCAACACCCACGTGGGCCGTCTGTATCATGCTGACATCATTTGCTCCATCTCCGATGGCAAGTGTGATGACTTTGACTTGTTTCTTGACCATCTCAACAACCTCTGACTTCTGAAGAGGAGAAACCCTTAAAAAAAAAGAAAATAAAAGAAAAGAAAAACAGGTGAGCAATTACCCCTGCTTCCTGAAAAAAGAAATGGAAATATCATCATTTTTTGATCAATAAACGAAGCCAAACAACTAGATGGATGGTTCTCAAGACAAAAAGATAACAAAACTCCTAGAAACAAATCTGTAGGTGGCAGCCAGGAGACATAATGTTTTGTGTTTTCTTAAGGACCAGAAAGCTGTATGAGAGGGCTATGAGGCAGTGTAGTGGTCAGTGGTTAAGAACACATATCGTTCTCGAAGACCAGGATTCAGTTCCCAGCACCTATATAAGGTGGCTTACAACTGCCTGACAACTCAGCTCCAGTTGGTCTGACACCCTCTTCTGGCCTCTGCGGGTACCTGACGCTCACACGCACATATTCCCCATACACACATAATTAAAAAGTAAAATACAGCTAAAACAAACAAGCGCAAATGTTGGGGGCTGTTCTAACGCTGGCCCTCAAGATCTGGCTCCACCTATCCTTGTTTTGTGAACCTGCCTAAGACATACCTGACTGGCTGATTAAATGGCCTATGCTTGGGCAGGGCAGGATGGGGTAGGCATGGCAAAAGTTCCCAGGCTTTTGAGAACAGGGAATCACAGGAAACAGATGGAGAGTAAGAAGGAGGATGCCAGGATGGGTTAGTATGGAGAAGAAACCACATGGGCTGGGAGAAAGGACTCCAATAATGGCGTGAAAAGGCCCAGATGAAGAATATAAACTAGTACCATAGGATTATGGATGAAAGGTAGTCCAATCCAGGAGGATTAAGGTTGATGGCATTGGATGGGGGCTGGGAGATGGATGGTGAGGATACTGAGATGGTGTAAGTGAAATATCTGCCTGGCCCAAGGTAGATAAGGTGATTATTAATCTAACAGGTGTCTGTACCTTATTATTTGTGACAGCGGGTTATAGAATACTGCTGTGATAATCTTAGGGCTAATAATAAACTTTATATAGCCCAACACTTTTTTAATTTGCAATAACACACAAACAACCAAAGAACAGTAAATAGTCCAAATATTAACTAGGTTCTATTTAATGCCTTGAAAGAAAAAAAAATCTTCAGATATCTGATCATATGTAATGTACTAGGTAATTAAACCAACTTATAACTACTGAAATTAATAGTGGGCAGTTGGCTAGCCTTTCAACCCATTCTCAGACACCACTATAAACCTAAAAAAAAAAAAAGAGCAAATATCAGATGCTAGAACATAATCGTTTTCTTCTGGAGGAACAGACTAACATGCATGCAGAATTCAAACAACTTTTTCTTCAAACATGGATAGGAACAGAGCACACCAGCATTTAAACTAACATTATATATGGTATTAGATTTTCCATGCATCTTAAAAAGTCATTTTAGAACTAAGTGCCAAGATAATGATAGAAACGTTCTAAGACAGAGTGCTTCAGCGACACAATTCACGTAATCTATTGTCCATACTGCACTGGAAATTGAAAGACAGGAAGACTAAACAGTGAACTGGTCCAGACAACTATTAAGATAGTAATTAGAGCCGGGTGCAGGCGTGCACACTGGTAATTCCAGCACTTCGAGGCTGACGAAGGAAGTACTCTCATAAGTTGTAGGACAGCATGGGCTACGCAGCAAAGTCCTGACATAACACAGATAACAAGATGCAACCAAAGTATAAAATGCTAGCACACAGAAATGCCTGAGAGCTATATAATCATCATCATCATCATCATCATCATCATCATCGTCATCGTCATCGTCATCATCATCTTGAGACAGTTGAGGGCAGTGTCAGCCCAAACTGGCCTTGAATTAGCTATGTAGTGAGACTCGGGCGTAGAACTCCTGATCTTTTTTTTTACTCCCATTTTCCCAGTGCTAGATTATAGCATATGCAGTATGCCTCACTCAGAGAGAGATCCTTTATTAAAGAAAAGTACCACAGAAGTGTCCAAGTACTTGCTGAAATAGCCTGCGGAGTATTTCTTATGCTTTTTAAAAATAAAGGCCGTTTAAGAAACTGACACATCTTTACAAACACTCTTGATTACGTTGATAGGAAAAATTCCCAGCAGCAGGCTTTCTGCACAAATACGGGCCTCCAGGAGGTTCTACTGCCGAGAGGAAGGGAGTGAGGGAGTTGGAAGACTCAGCTCGAGGCTGAGACACTGACAGAGTGGTCTGCTGTGCTTTAGTGGGCTGATCCAGAAGAGGAACTGGTAAACGCTGCCATATCAAAGAATTACTTTTAATTTTTTTTTTTCCTTTGGATTTCCTTTTGGAGTTTGGCAACAGTACAAAATGACACAGCTCTGAACTCAACAAGAGAATGAATATCAGGCTACTAATGGTTCATTTCACCGTCTGCCTCCATTTCTCTTCAAAGCAATTTTCATTCCACTTTTACATTTTATTTAATTTTTCTTAACAGGCTAATATAAATGGGTAAGCCCACTGGCCCTCAGCCAAGGTTTTAAACACGGACCATAGTTGACATTTAGTAAATGTCAGAAAAGAATGCTCGCCTGAAATGCTATAGAAAGCAAATGGAAATGGGCATGAATGAAGGGAAGCATTTGAAAGCAGTTATCAAGCTCTCTTTAATGGCTCCCAGTCTACACACACTATAAAATCACATGGTGGAGCTAGGGCATTGTGAAGCCTTTTTACGAACTGAAGTCACACGGTGAGCTAAAATCAGTGACTTGTAGGGGCTTCGGGAAAGAACGACCCCAAACCTCTTTCCCATCTTCACAGCGATTATACTCTGTGGCTGCTGTCTCTTAGTCACACTGTAATGTTTACTAGTGCATGCTGGGTGATCTTCACTGTCAACTTGATGGAGTTTAGAATCACCTAGGAGACAGGCCTCTGGGAGTTTCCTGAGGGTGTTTCCAGCGTGGCTTAACTGAGGGCGGAAGCGCTACCCTGCTTTTAGAGGTGGGCTGAGGTCCCAGACTGAATAAAGAGAAAGGTGCCCACCCAGGGAACACCAGCACCCATCATTCACTGCTTCCTGAAGGCAGATGTACATAGAGGTTACCAGCTACTTCATGCTCCCGTCAGCACGTCTCCCTTGCCTCTGTGTACTATATCCCCTCAAACTTGAACCACAGCTCTTCTTTCCTTAACCTGTGTCAGGTGTTTTATCATAGCAATAAAAACAAAACAAAACAAAACAAAAAAACAAAAAACATCAAGTAATAGAACCTCCAAATTAAAGCTAGGTAAGGATCTTTACCCACTTCTACAGAGATAACTAACTCAGGTGTTGAGAAAAGAGTAGGAATAGCCTAAGCAAGAAAACTGCTTGTTTAAGCAAAAAGTAAAGAAATAGCACCATAGCCAGAAGCATCCTCCAAAGTATAGGATGACTATGACCAGCAAGGTGGGTCCAGGCTTAGAAGAAGATTCGAGAAACAGTGAAAGCCACTGACAGCTAAATAATGGTGTTGGATTTACAAACTGTAAAACATGCATTCATATATTTCACTCAGAATGTGAATGTACAGAGACTTGTTAGTTAGAGTCTAGAACATTCTTTTGCCAGGAAATGCTGGTTGAAACCCCAAACTTTCTATTGTTGCAAAAATCTTTCTCAGGAGACACACACTTTTTTGTTTTCTAACATGAAGCTGAGAATACAGTTTTTTCCAACCTAGCTGATGGCTGTTTTACCTGCCCCTTCTCTATGTTCAAAAGCACCCTGAGCATCTGCACACCGCATTATCCTCAGGCTATGGCAGAAGGTGCTGGTGGGGCAGCTGATGGCTGCTCTGACGTGGGGATTCTGAGACTCAGAGGGGGATTCTGATTAGTGAAACTGAAGTCTGCTAATAAAGATTTCCTACAGGCGCCTGTGTGTTTGTGTACATGTGTGCGAAGGCATGCACCGGAGGTTGGAGGATAACCCTGAGTGTTGGGTTGTCACTTCCCACCTTGTTTGAGACAAGATCTTGGTTTGCTTTGGTGGCTCACTGCTGGCTATGCCAGGCTAGCTGGCAGCAAGCTGCCAAGGATTTCCCTGCCTCTGCCTCCCAACTCACTTCAAGAATGTTATGATTACATCTATGTGTTACTGTTCCCAGCTTTATGTGGGTGCTGGTTTCTGAACTCAGATCTCATGCACACACAGCAAAAGCTTTAACTGCTGAGCTCAAGTTGGGCATTCTTATCCTTCAAATCCAAAAATCTGTAAGTCCCCAAACTTGCAACTTTCTGAGTGCCAATATGAGGCTGAAAATTCAATACCTGATCTCATGTGACGAGTCATAGTCCAAACGCACTGAAATGAACAAAATTATCTTCCGGCTATGTGTATCAGGTTTATGAAGAAACTTATGTGTGGAACAGGAAGTAATTTCTATGAAATTCATGTTTAGACTTGGGGCTTGTCTCCAAAGTAGCTCGTTTTCCAAAAGCACATGTTCCAAACTTTAGAACCCAAAGTTCTGAATCATGCTGGACCCAAGCATTCTGGACGAGGGACACCCAAATGGGTGCTGTTTTCAAGGTGTTGAGATGTTGCTTCTTGCAACATGGGGTCAGGGCACAGGGTGTATAAGAAAGCAGATGTAATGTGGTTCTCAGGCTCCCGCTACCGTGAATCCCGTGACAGGGTGCATGGTAACCCGGAACTGTGAGCGAAATAAACCCTTTCTCCCTTAACTTGCTTTTGTTAGAATATTTTACCAAAGCAGCAGGAAGAGCAGCTAAGACTGACGGGTATGACATATGGCCTCTTGATCGTTTTGCCTGTATTCAGTCATTCCAGAGGACAGAAGGCCTCCTTAACAAGGGCAGGAGAGTTCATTTCAGATGAAGTGGATCTCTTTCCACACTCAGCACTGCCTGAGCATGGTTCTTCTTCCCCTGATGTGCTTCCAGCGTTTCAAACCTCCCATCAGACGACTTTGCTCTGTTTGACTTCGGCCCATGCTTTTGTAGTTGGACAATTTCCCTGACAGCCTAGAGCGGTGGTTCTCA